GCAGCCAAGGAAAGTTGTACTTAGCATCTGCAACCAGAAAATAACCAGAATGCAGGAGGAAGCTGAAGTCAGTTGCCTCAATAAAAATTGTGACTGTAAAAGGGGTAGCATCAGGGAGATCTTTATGATGACAGAACACTTCTGAATCTTGATTGTGGTGCTGGTTATATAAATATATATATATGATAAAAATGCCATTGAATGCTCTACAAACATACAAAATAAACAAGTGTGGAAAAGAGGTAAAATCTGTGCTAATATCTGTAGTCTAATTAATTGTATTGTGCCAATTGATTTCCTGGTTTTGACAATGCACTACAAATTATGTAAGATGTCCTCACTGAGGGGAGCTGGGTGATGAGCATGTGGTACCCCTCTCTACTATTTTTGCAACTTCCTGTGAATCTATATGGTTTTTTCAAAAGTGAACAATAAAGAGTTTTGGAGCAAAGTTCAACACTCAGAGGCATATTGGCATACAGAGTAATGGCAGCCCTCAGGCTGGAAATGCTGATCTGTATAGTTTGTTATGAAGCAATAGGTACGTGAAACAAGGTTGAATTGTTGCAATTCCACATTTTTTAATGCAGAGCAACAACCAGGTGTATTTTGAGCCTAAAGCAAGGAAAATACCTACAAGTAGCTCAAACTCTGTTATTTTTTCTATTGAGATAACACAATTGTTCAACAGAATTGTTTTTCACAAACCAACAAAGAAAGTCCTTGTCAAAACTTGTAACATGGAAGAAAATCCCTGGACAGTAGTTACTCTTCTAAGAAATGTGCCATCACCAACAATCGTGATGGCACACAGGACTGTATAATGTGGAAAAACATGAATTCCAACTATGAGCTGAAAAGTGATTTAGAATCATCAAGTTATACATGTGAAGAAATTTTAGAAATACTTTAAAAGCTATTTATATTGCTATATATTCTATATACTTATAAGAGTGATATATGAAAAATACTATGTCTACATAAAAATAAAATAACTTTCAATAGGTATAAATTAAATATTATAAGTGCAAAGACAACATTATGGCATGATTTAATTGGCAGTCTTTTTATTTTGTTAGTGTAGTGATACATAAAATAATGGTACACTTAACATTTGATGGCATCTTAAATTTGATGAAATACAATATCTGGGAATAAGGCCTGGCCAGCCTGGGTGAATAACTTAGCCCCCAACAGCACAGCTCTAATCATGCATTGACCTCTGCCCTTTTGGACCTGGAAGGTGCTCATGCCCACATTAGGACCCATATATTGGCCATTCCTGAAATGAGGCAGCTCACCCCAGACAATCTTCACCTCACTGTGCCTTAGCTCCATTCCAAACTAGAGCCCTAACTCCTGCTCCCCACAACATGAGGCACTTGACCTCTTCAACCTGCTCCAACCCCCATACCATAGACTTCACCTGTCTCCATCAACACCCCACCCAGTTGCTTCAGCTTTTGGCCTGTACGTGGAAGATATTCACAAATACTAAAGAATCCTGTCTGGCCAAGATGAAGGTGGCATAGGTGGAAATATTGTACTTCCTCGAACAACCAAAATCAAGGACAACAAAGATTTAGAAACAAAAGTACAACCAGAACAGACAGAAAATGGAACTGTATGGAAGTCCAACAACCATTCATCCAGACCAGTAAGAGGGGCAGAGTCAGCAGCTGGCAGAGAGGGGTCACAGCAGGAAAAGGCAGTGTCTGGCAGACCCGGGTGCAAAGGCAGCACAGGGCTGACAGACCCCGGGCAGGGGAGGAAACAAGCAGACCCAGAGAGGCATGCAAGTCGGTTGGCTAACTGCAGTCACACATTCACACACAGATAAACCAGGCAAAAACTGGCAGCAAGACAGACCGCACAACCCAGTACCCCAGCTATGGGAAATAAAACCTAAAAGCACTGATTGAAAGGTGCCAGGAGAGATTCCCAGCCTCACAGGAGAACTCCTTGGAGAGACCCACAGGGTCCTAGAATGTACACAAGCTGACCCACTCAGGAACCAGCATCAGATGGGCCAAATTTGCATGTGGGAAGCAGCAGAGGGGACTGAAATCCAACAGAGAGTGGAACAAGCACCACTGTTCCCTCTCTGACTCTGCCTCCACATACAGTGTCACAACCCAGCTACTGGGCTGCCCCACCCTGGTGAACACCTAAGGCTCCGCCCCTCATATGTAACACATGCAACTATACCAAAACAATATGGCTCAAACAGAATAACAGCTCAAAGCCCAGAGCCAATACTTCTGAGTGACCAAGAGATAGCCAACCTATCAGATGCACAGTTCAAAACACTGGTGATCAGGATGCTCACAGAACTGGCTGATTTTAGTCACAAATTAGAGGAACATATGAAGGATAAACTAAGTGAAATGAAGGGAAATGCACAGGAAACCAATAGTGATGGAAAGGAAATTGGGACTCAAATCAATGGAGTGAACCAGAAGGAAGAAAGAAATGACCAAACAGAAAAATATGAAGAAACAAGAATTCAAAAAAATGAGGAGAGACTTAGGAACCTTCAGGACATCTTTAAACGTTCCAACATCCGAATTATAGGAGTACCAGAAGGGAAAGAGGAACAGCCACGAGTGGAAAACTTATTTGAACAAATAATAAAGGAGAATTTCCCCAATCTGGCAAAGGAAATAGACTTCCAGGAAGTCCAGGAAGCTCAGAGAGTTCCAAAGAAGTTGGACCCAAGAAGAAACACACCAAGGCACATCATATTACATTACCCAAGATTAAAATGAAGGAGAGAATCCTAGAAGCAGCAAGAGATAAGGGGACAGTCACCTACAAAGGAGTTCCCATCAGACTGTCAGCTGATTTCTCAAAAGAGACCTTACAGGCAAGAAGGGGCTGGAAAGAAGTATTCCAAGTCATGAAATCCAAAGACCTACATCCAAGATTACTCTATCCAGCAAAGTTTTCATTTAGAATAAAGGGCAAATAAAGTGATTCTCAGATAAGGTCAAATTCAAGGAGTTCATCATCACCAAGCCCTTATTATATGAAATGTTAAAGGGACTTATCTAAGGAAAAGAAGATAAAAAAGATGAACAGTGAAAGGACAGCAAACTCACAGTTATTAAGAACCACACATAAAACAAAAGCAAACTAAGAGGACAGCTAGATCAGGAGCAGAACCATAGAAATGAAGATCACATGGAGGGTTAGCAACAGGAGAGTGGAAGGAGGAGAAGGGGGGAAAGGTACAGAGAATAAGTAGCATAGATGGTGGGGAGAAAATAGACAAGGGGAGGGCAAGAATAGTGTGGGAAATGTAGAAGCTAAAGAACTTGTGACACATGGACATGAACTAAAGAGGGGGGAATGGGGGAGGGGTGTGCAGGGCAGGGGGGAATGAAGAGGGGGACATGGGACACCTGTAATGGCATAATCAGTAAAATATATTTTTAAAAAGAAGATAAAAATATGAACAGTAGAATGACAGCAAACTCACAATCATTAACAACCACACCTAAAACAAAAACAAAAGCAAGCAACTAGAACAGGAACAGAACCACAGAAATGAAGATCACATGGAGGGTTAGCAACAGGGGAGTGAAAGGAGGAGAGAGGGTGAAAAGTTAGAGAATAAGTAGCATAGATGGTCAGTAGAAAATATATAGGGGGAGGGTTACAATAGTATAGGAAATGTAGAAGCCAAAGAACTTATATGTACGACCCATGGACATGAACTAAAGGGGAAAATATGGGTGGGAGAGGGTGTACAGGGTGGAGGGGAGTGAAGGGGGGGAATGGGACAACTGTAATAGCATAGTCAATAAAATATATTTTAAAAAACACATGCTACATGAGTGCCACTGTTTACAGCAATATTGAAGGGGAGAAAACAACACTTACTTAGGGACACATATACCATACCACAAAATCCAGATTTAATAGCATCAGTGCAATAAATTCACAAAACTATATTACAGCTAATTAATTAGAGTTTAAGACCTGTTCCCAAATATGTCACATTGTTGGTCCTTAGAGGTTCATTCCATAGACTTCAACTATTTTAAACTTGTAGCTACTGAGAGGAAGAATGACTCTAAGATGCTTTCCAAGAGTTACAAAATCTCTAGACTCAAGGCCATCCATCATCTCCCAAAGTCTGCTCTCACCAACAGCCCTCATATTCTTCACAGAAATATTCAGGGAAAAAGTCAGATACCAGCATAATCACTACCTCCTAGGCCAGATCTACAGTGACCAAAGCAGCCAAAACCATAAAATGAGAACTGAAAAATTAGTAGGATAAGATTATCTTGTACTGAATCCTGATGGAACACAGTAAGACTTTTGTCCATGATTAGCTGGTCTTGGAGTAAAAGTCATAGGCAGGAGTCTTCATCTCTTATGTACTTTAGTTTTAGACAGCTGAAACATAAAATTAAAAGTATGCTAAAAATTCTAAATGCAAGCTTTTAAAAGCTTGCTATTAAAAAACTTTTAAGGGCCTACTAACTTGAATGCTAAGTTCAAGGGGACAAGAGTTCTAAGCCTGTCATATTCCCCATTTCAGAGGTAGAATCAGTATTTTCTAGAAATTGCTAAGTTTTGCACAAGAGAGAAACCAACATATACTAGGGCATATAATTGGTTTCATTTTATTCTATGAGGATTCTTCTCCCATGGCATACAAACAGAATGAGGAATGAATCTTCACTGGTTTCTTCATTGGAAGTGGTAAACTTGGTCTCTATGTTCATGAAGCCTGACAGTTTTTTAAGCAGACTGTGGAAGTAGGCAGTAGAACCAGTTGTTTTGTAACCACAGACCGCTGTACCTCCTATCTAGCAAGCAAAGATCAACTTGAACGATTATCCAAAGTTACTGTTAACTGTACTAAAGGGTGAAATTCACCACTACTTTATTTTAAAGGAAGCTGCCTACAAGAATTTAATTAACCCGGGTAAGAAAAATCTAAACAAGTTGTATTCATGAGTAAGTTGTCCATATAAGGCCAACTGATGACAATGCACCCAGATACACTTGACACGAAGATACTATGTATAAAAGCCTTGTGTGGCAAGTCTGATTTTCTAGTAACTAAGGGAAGAAGGAGTGAAGAGCAAAGAGCTACTTCTGTAACACTTTAGTATCCAGATAATAGAAACTGTTCCCAAGGACAATCAATATACACATCATTAATCACACTTAATGAAGAAGACGTTATTCATTTTTCTTTTCTTTTTGCTTAAGAAGCTTGTTCATCTCCCTTTTGGTCATTCCAATGTACTTCAAAATAACTCCAGATTGTTTTAGTCCAGGAAGCATCAGTTAAGAAAGTCACTATCAGGTAGGTCAGAAGAAGGTTGTGGACCTGCTGTCCCACCCAAGCAACCACAGCAAAAGAAATGATCATGGTCATGAAGTATATTTTTAGCTTTTCATCCTTTAATGTGAAGAGGTGTTTCCACCAGCCCACAGCTCTGCATCGAGTTTTTACTAGACTGCTACAAATTTCATGGAGTTTTTGCTGCTGCTCAGTAGTCCATTTATTAGAGTAAAAAATTCTAGGCACTAGAATGGGAACAAGGTAGTCAGTCAAGCACAAAAACATAACAAAACAGGAAACACAGGAAAGAACAGATGGATCTAGACCGTAGGTGGTCAGAAACACCAAAGAAAACACACCAATGATGGCAGGTGGAAACCAGGGTCTTTCCCATGGGAGGATTTTATCAGCCATCAGCATCACCTCTTCCCATCCTTGCAGCTGCTCTTCCAGACTTGCAGTCTCTGCCACCAGCAAGTTGGTGCTAAGGTTATCTCCCTTTGCCATCATCCCCAAGGTGCTGCCTCACTGAGCATAAACCAGCCTCCTCAACAGCCCCCCTCAGAGATCAGCACAGTAACTCCAATCACATTTTCTAAGCTTTTTACAAATCACATATTTGTATGTATTTCAGAATTTAAGGAGTGATTTATCTTTCTTTTAGATTTTAGATTTTATTTTTATGTTATTTTTAATTATGATATAATTGACATAACATTTTGTAAGGTAAAGGTGTACATGTTGATTTGATACATTTATATATTGTAATATGATTGCCATTGTAGGGTTAGCTAACACCTCCATCACATCACATAATTATTTCTTGTTCTTGGTGGAAATAAGATCTAGTCTCTTAGAAAGGCGGATGTTTATAATACAATGACATTGTCTATAATCACTATATCATGCATTAGATCTCCAGGATTTATTTACCTACTAGCTACAATTTTGTACCTTTAAACAACATCTCTCCAATTCTCCCTGCTCCCTGTCCCTGGTAACCACCATTTTACTCTCTGTTTTCATGAGTTCAGCTTTTTCGGAGTCCACATATAAATGATATCATACAGTATTTTTCTCTGCCTGACTTACCTAACTTAGCATAATGTCCATAAGCTCCATCCATGTTGTTGCAAATGGAAGGATTTCCTTCTTTCTCATAGCTGAATAATATTCATATAAATATATCACATTTACCTTTATTTGTTCATTCATTGAAAGACACTTAAGTTGTTTCCATATCTTGACTGTTGGGACTAGTGCTCTAATGAACGTGGGAATGCAAATATCTTGTCCAAATCCTGTTTTTGTTTCCTTTGGATATATACCCAGAAGTAGAATTGCAAGGTCTTATGACAGTTCTATTTTTAATTTATTGAGGAACCTACATACTGTTTTCCACAGCGGCTGCACCAATCTGCATTCCCACCAACAGTGTTCAAGGTTTTTCTTTTTCTCACATCCTCTCCAACACTCGTTATCTATTGTCTTTTTGATAATAGTCATTTTAACAGTGTCAGGTGATACTGTGGTTTTGACTTGCATTTCCCTGATCATTAGTGATGTTGAATACCTTTTCACGTATCTGTTGGCCATTTTGATGTCTTCTTTGAAAAAATGTCTATTCAGTGCTTCTGCTCACTTTTTTTATCAGATTGGTTTTGTTGTTGTTATTTGGTTGTATATGTTTTTAAAATGTATTTTGGATATTAACCCTTTACCCAATGTATGGTTTGCAAATATTTTCTACCATTACATAGGTTGAATTTTTTAATATTTTAAAACTAATTTTTCAAAGATTTTATTTTTTATTTTTAGAGAGAGGGGAAAGGAAGGAGAAAGAGAGAGAAACATCAATGTGTGGTTGCCTCTCGCATGCCCCCTACTGGCGACCTGGCCTACAACCCAGGTATGTGCCCTGACTGGCAATCAAAAGTAACCCTTTTGTTCACAGGCCAGCACTCAATTCACTGAGCTACACCAGCCTGAGTTAAACCTAATTTATTTCAGTCTATTGTTCCTGCTCTGTTTGGCAGTGTATTCATGACGTTTTCAGTTGCAAAGTCATTTGAAAAGCATGCTTTCAATCACCAGTTAACACTTTTGTTAACTTTTATGTATCCTATTTAAATATAACAAAATCGGGAGTTGAACTATTCATACCACACAGATAATGGCATACTTTTATTTTCAGCAGTACAGACTATTCTCTTTTTTTAATTTAATTTAAAATTTTTTACCCCATATCACTACTCTCAGTCAGACCCTCTCTCCACCACACTATAATGGGCTCAAAATTTATCTTGTTTATGATTGAATCTTTAAAAACAATATGCTGTTGCTGGGTGTCACTTTTTAATATATTTATTCTCAAAAATTGTTTTTTAGGTTTAGTTTCTTTTCCAGATAGTAATATTCACTTTATAAGTTTAGTCTTCTTATATTTTTTACTGTATCATTTATATCATTGCAGGCTGTACTCAACATAATGTTCCTCAGCCCAATGACATTATATTGCTACTATTTTGCTTTCAGAATTGAAGCTTCTATCTAATTGGGCCTGGTTCATATCATGAAAGGACAGTCTCAGAGTGTCAAGGGCATGGTTGAGGGCTTTTTTTCTGGGCAGGAAATGGCCCATAGTAGACTCTGTGAATTGGCTTGCTGAATATCTCTTCTAACCCCTCTCTAGTGCACCTTTCTTGATAACAGAAGCTGAAGAGCTAAAAGCTCTTATTTCTTACTGCCTTGAAACCAGGAAGTAGATGTAATTTAGGTTCTGCTAATCAGGTATACTCAAATGAGAATCATCTTTGAAGATTTAGTCAAGTGGTAAAAGAGGGGACAATGTGAGAGTTCTCCATTATTCTGCTGTAGATCTAGAAGGCATGGGGTGGATCTGGAACAACAAATATGTCAGTTTTCTCATCTCAGGAGTGCAGCTAAGGTAATAAGTATGTTCACAGATGCAGTGATTGTGGTGTGGTGGCAGATTCCTGATCCAAGGATTGTGGCTAAGGTTATGTGATACTGAAGCCAGTTGTCAGCAAAGAAACTTTGTGATTTCCCAACTTCCTACCTGGGGCAGAGGTAGCAGCCTTCCTGGTGGGGCAGTTAGTTTTATTGTTTTAGTAGTCATTCCTAATAGCTGAGCCTAGAGGTTGTTCTTTCAGCCCTTCCAATAATTTTGCAAGTGCCTTATTCCCTATGTTAAATCCATATCTTCTTTTTTTAATTTTTATTTAGTTATTTTTCTTTTTTTCTTTTTTTAATTATGTTGTTTTATTTGATAGTTTCAGATAGTTTTTCTTTTTTTAAATTTTATTTAGTTATTTTTCAAGTACATTTTTGTCTATTTCTCCCATCCCAGCCCCCCCCCAGCCTGTCTCCCCCCTCTCTCCCATTCCCTTCCCCCAGTCCTCATCCCTGTGTCTTTCATACTTGTTCCTCAAAATCCCTCCCCATTTTTCCCCTTAAATTCCCTTCTCTCTCCCCTCTGGTTGCTGCCCCCTTGTTCTCTATTTCAGTGTCTTTGTTTTTATTCTGTTTGCTTGTTTGTTTTATTGTTTAGCTTCCTGTCAAAGGTGAGATCATATGGTATTTGTCCTTCAATGCCTGGCCTATTTCACTCAGCATAATGCTTTCCAGTTCCATCCATGTTGTTGCAAAGGGTAGTAGCTCCTTCTTCCTCTTTGCTGCATAGAATTCCATTGTGTATATGTACCACAATGTTTTGATCCATTCATTTACTGATGGACACCTAGGTTGCTTCCAACTCTTGGCTATTGTAAATTGTGCTGCTATGAACATTGTGGTGCATAGGTTCTTTGAAATTGATGTTTTAGGATTCTTGGGGTATAATCCTAGCAGTGGAATTGCTGGGTCAAAAGGCAGGTCGATTTTTATTTTTCTGAGAAAATTCTATTATGTTTTCCATAATGGTTGTACCAGTCTGCAATCCCACCAACAGTGAACTAAGGTCCCCTTTTCCCCACAACCTCTCCAACATTTGTTGTTGCTTTGTTTATGATAGCCATCCTGACTGGTGTAAAGTGGCATCTCATTGTGGTTTTAATTTGCATCTCTCTGATAGCTAATGATATTGAGCATCTCTTCATGTGTCTCTGGATACTCTGTATGTCCTCTTTGGAGAAGTGTCTGTTCAAGTCCTTTTCCCATTTTTTAATTGGGTTAAATGTCTTCCTAGAGTGGAGTTGTGTAAGTTCTTTGTATATTTTGGAGATTAAACCTTTGTCTGAGGTATCATTGGCAAATATGTTTTCCCATACAGCTGGTTGTCTTGCTAATTTAATACTATTTTCTTTAGCCATGCAGAAACTTTTTATTTTGATGAGATCCCATTTGTTTATTCTTTCCTTTATATTCCTTGCTCTAGGGGACATATCGGTAAAAATGTTGCTGCTTGGAATATCTGAGATTTTCTTGCCAATGTTCTCCTCTAGGACTTTAATGGTATCATGGCTTATATTTAAGTCTTTTATCCACCTTGAATTTATTTTGGTGTATGGTGTAAGTTGGTGCTCAAGTTTCATTTTTTTTGCATATCTTCTTAAAATAAGTAGAATGATTTCTGTTATGGGAAACTGAACTTAGACTAATACACATGCTGATCAAAGTGAAGTTCTTCCCATAAAAACTCTCTGTACTAGGGATACAATGATTACTGTCCTTTCAGACAAATACTCCCAATAACTTACTTGTTCTTGCTTTTAGGTGCTCTCCTTAAGACATGTCAGGAACAGTGCCTCTCTCACCACCCATAAATCCTAGACCAGTGACCAGATGAAAGGAGTGTATCATATGTTGGTGGAGGAACTACTTTTCCTGAGCAACAACAACCCCTTATCTTCCATGGAATTTGCTTTGAGACTCCCCTCTCCAAATAAATGGACTAAACAGAGAAATGTCTCATTCTCTATCTCTCTCTTTTTTTTTTTTTTGCCCTAACATCAGCGGCTTGGGTCCAAAAGGGGAGGAGATGGGGGGGGGGAGTATGATCTACAGATCATCTTAGCAGAAAGCAAAAGAATAACAATTATAAGCTTCCAGGGATCCATATGTGGGATCTGGGCAGCCAGGCTCTGCCCATCTCACTGGACCACCTGAAACTGCACAAAGCTTGAGAAGAGTTGACCTGCTGAGCCCCTTGGGTGACCAAGGCACCTGCTCTCTGCTCGCCTTGCAGTCTCACACCTCCAGATGTATCAACCCGAGAATGAGAAAGGCATATTCCTTGTATGTGCAATGCTTATAGATGTTAGTTAAAGGCCAGGTGGATTGGGAGGGCCCTGGGCAGCCCAAGGAAAAATGCACAGAAGGTGCTTTCCCATGCAAATAACTACACTAATGGTAGTTATCAAATTGGATCCTAATCAGCCTTTCCCTACCTCTCTATCCATACCATACCAGAAGCTTTAATACTTATCTTTCTTTCATTTTTAAGCTTTACTTATCCAGGCTGATGCCCTTGTTTAACCTGTACTCTTCAG